TCGTCTATGGGACGGTGCGCCTGCCATGTTTGTGAAGCTTTGGCAATTCCTGTGATTTGAAGGCGACACCATTGCTTACACCGTGCAGTTCCGGCTGCAGCCTTTCAGGAGTTGTATTGGCCCTTTGATAGACGCAGTTGTTGTTCTCATTCATGTTAAGGCAGAAGCTGAAACAGAACCCAAACCCTAAACCCTAAACGCACCCAAATACTCGTCGCTCAACAGCGCTGCTGGTGCTGGTTGCTCTGGCACATGTGGCGCACCATAGCTTCGTGGTTGCTCCCTTTCCGGCACTTCGGGTTCAGAGCTCCTCGCGCCCTTCTGGCATTGTCAAGACGCGCGTGTTGCGCAAGGCAACGCAGGGTCAAACTCAAAGGGTTAGGGCATTGGAGTCGTGATTTTATTTTCCCTGAGGTGGGCGCAAATCAGCATTGGCCATATGGACTGGTGGATGCTGAGGGCTCTGAGTTCTATGCCCGTCAGTTGGATGGCAACTTCTTCGCCGATGTCAAGAACAGCGACCTTTTCGTGCAAGCTTTGACGGAAGATGCCGGGGAGAAGCAGGTGGATGCAGATGCTCACCTAAACAGTATTGATCAAAAGGCCACGCAGTTCATGAAGGGTGAGCCCAACGAACCACGCAAGATAGTGGACCGCGAGTCTTTCGTAGACAACCTCACGGATGCGATCTCCCGAGATGGCAAGCTCACCTTGGTCTTGGGTGGCAAGAGTGTAGGCAAGAGCACAGTCATTCGGAGTGTGGTAGCGAATTTTACACAGGCCAAACGCTCCCAGCGGACTGTGGTTTTCACGGATACGAGAGAGATGCCTGCGAAAGACTTTTTCACGGCTGTTCTGAGCACAGCTCCGCCATTGATGGCTTTTCGAAGTGCAGTTTCGGTAGCGGGGACAAGCATTTTCATAAGATTTCTGGCAGGCGTGTTGTCTATTGTCCCAAAAGTCGGCAAACTTGTCTCAGACAGCCTTGCTAAACTCCTCGACAACATGGACGGCAAGATGAAGCAAGAGGGATTTGTCAGTCTCGTTCGGAGGGCAGGCAAGGGCATTGCTATCATCGTCAATGAGGCGAACCTTGCACTTCCTCGCGATGATGACCGAACGGAGGCGAAAACAGCGCGGGATGCCCTTGCGGAGATAGTAAGCATTACCAAGCAGAATCTCCAAGCCTCTGTCGTCCTCATCAGCTCCGAGCACGGCTACCCCTTCAAATTGGCCAAAGCCAATCTCCGCCTGGACGACATAGACAACGTCATCATCGCTCCGGAAGTGCCGCCCAACGACATGTTCAGGGTGCTCACCGACCACTGGGGCATGGGGCGCCGACTGGCGCGCCTCTTTGTGGCCACCTACGGCGGCTCCACTCGGGCGGTCTACAAGGCTCTTGGCAACCTGATCAACGATCGCAAGCAGTTCTATCCGCTGGGCACTACATCCGTTCCGGGCATAGGCATTTGCTTGGATCAGGCACGTGGGGGCAGGTTTTAGTTTGTGTTTTTAGGGGTAAGGCAGGTTCGCGCCAAAATTCTTGCTGACTTTCGCAG